TGTGACTAAATACACATGTGCTTCATATTTAATGCTTCATATTTAAAAAAAAAAGATTATGACCTATACAGTATGATCGACATTCTTATCTTTCACGAACATGCGTATACTGTTTTCCAGCAGACGAAACTCATCTTCAATCTCAGATGCCTTCTCTCTTTCTATGGATTTTGCTTGAGAAAAGGATTCTAATTTTATAATAGCAATGATCCTTTGTGTATTTCTTATGGTTTAAAGAATCAGTTGGATTGGTGCGAGATACTTTTAGGGTTTTGGGTTACGAGTAGAAGAACAATGCCATCTTCATCTGTGAAAGGATGGAATCAATCAGCTCAAAGACATTGTATTATCTCCATTGAAACCTAATTTATCTGGGTTTTGATTCCACATCCAAACTAAAAATCTTAGAAAGAGGTTTAATTTAGTTCTTATTAGATTTTCGTTGATTTGTTAGTTTTCAAAGAAAATTGGGGTTTTTGTGTCTGTAAGTATTTGATGCCATTACCTATGTTACTGTTTCAGATCATAAGCAATTCATATGAGTTAATGATTGTTGTTATTACAATTTGCTCATAACAAGACATGCCACATACGGTGAGAATAGTTTGACTGAGAATTATAAACCAAAGAATTCAGAGAGATATACTTGTGACAATTGCACAGATGGTTCAACGAAATAATAGGGAAGTGTAAATTTGTGAGGCAGAAAGAGAATACCAGTGAAACGGAAAGATCTTGGCATTGTTGAGGTAAAAACAAAAGAAAGTAAAAGCAATAAAAGACCAACTAGAAAAGTGTAACAATGGAGATTCAAGGGAACATCAAGCTTCTAATACTAATCTAGATATAAGAGGTAGTCATTCTTTTTCTACAGAAATCTAATAGAGCAAAAACTATTCTTGAAAAAGAATAACCTTTTGAAAGTGACTGCTACCAATTAAACAACAAATCAGCGCCACCAGCTGGCATAGATCAAGCTGAAGTTTTGGGCCATGGCACATAGATGTCAAATACAAAGAAATAGATGATGAGAAGTGATAATCACAGTGTGATCCACGATGTAGGTTAGGTTCACGAAACCAAAAGCAAAATGGAAGTATGCATAAGGATGATGTTGGCTCAAGTCCTTCGAAAATGGAATTCATGTGTGAGACTGTCTAAAACTCAATCAAAGAGGGTGGGGATTTGAAACCCATGGCTGATAGTCATATGGCAACATGTTGGATGTTGCAGTGGTTATGTTTGATATCGTTCCCTTTGCTTGACATAGCCGGTAACCTTTTGCAGTATGTTGGGTATTATCATGAGAGCACCGGTGTTTAATTACTGTAGGTAGATAATAAGTTAGACTCAAATAATTTTGGTTATACATGGCCCAGATTATTTAATTTTCCGGCCCATGCTGATATTTTTTGTTGTTTATAGAAAAAACGTCAAGCTTCTCTTTTATATTTTGTTTTAATTTATAACTAGAGATTGAACTCCATGTCCGTGCGGATGTTAAATTTTATATTTTTATAAGTTGATCTTTTATTTTTCATAATTAGTATTATATATTTTATGTGTTATTATATAAATTAAATAATTTTAAGTTATTATACATCAAAATCTAACCCCAATCAAATTACACAATATGGTTATTTTTGATTATTTTTTTTAGGTCTCTTTGTATATAATAATTTGTTGGATATTTTAATTTTTCTATACATCAAAACAAATTCATCCGGATTCATATTTAGGCAAGTCAATATATAAGGTGAACAAAATAAATGAAGTGATTACAATAAATGAAATGATTATTTAAAAAAGAACAATACATGAAGTGTAATGAAAATCTGTAAAAAAATAACTTAAAATAAACAAGTATTATTTTGTACTTCTGTTTTAATAGAATAAAAGATTAACTATCTTCGATAGGCCGTACTATTTCTTAAATTTCAACTGATGTGCTCAATCTGAAATAGATCTAATTAAAATTTTTTGTTAACACATGAACCTGTCAATAAAATATATAATTACTTTTTGAATGAAACAAATATACACACCTTTCATATTTGTTATGGGTTGTTGGGGAATTTAAAACGCTACAAACTCTATTAGCAAACATGTAACTGGCAGATATTATAGCTCAGCATTTCCGCACTGATCAAAGCTTGGAAGGCAGAAGTTATTTGCAATACTGCATATCATACTCGGGTGTTTCTGAAAAACAAAGTATAAAATGTGGTATGACAACTTTACATGAAAAACATCTAAAGAATTAAGGTACTTCGTCGTTGTGAACACGTACTTGAGAAAACTTACTTGGATACACACGTAGTTGATTCACTCTTACCTGATATTTATGAGTCCTGATGATTGATTTCTCCATCTATGTTTCAGTTTTTCTAAAAAGGATATCTAGAATGTTATTGTAGTAAAAAAAGTATAAAGGTAAATGACGAAATAAAAACCATAAAATGTAACCAAAATATAACTACCTAAATTAGAATCAAGATCAAAAACCACATACTCTATTTAGACTCACACGGTCAAATTGAATTCAAAATTTTATTAGACTTCTAACATTATTATTGAAAAAAATAAAAATAATTAAACTCAAATCATACCTAAATTTATAAATAATCAAACTGTTATTATATTTTCTGTACCAAAAATCAAATTCAAACCGAAAACCAAAAAAATACAATCACCAAAATCGAACACCCATGAGTAATCATATTAATGAACAAAAATACATGTTAATGAATTTATTAATTAAAAATAATCCCGCGCTTAAAAAGCGCGGGTTAGAATCTAGTCTATATTATTAAATGAGAAATACAAAATAGAAACAACCCTTAATTTTATCAGTTATTTATAATAGAATGCCTTTGAGATATTTATTGAACCTATATTTAAACATGTTTGTCTTTTCCTAATTTAAATAATAGATTTAGGTATTTAATATCTTTTCATAGTTTAAATAATAGATTTTCTTAGTCAAATCTTAACCAAAATAAATTTCCTAATTTATTCGGTATTAACATATTCAACATTTTAATATTTATTAATAAGAAATAATATGTTATTTTCTTTAAGAAATTATAGAAGTTATAGTTACACATATTTATATATATTTTAAGTATTTATAATTATGGCCCACCTCTATATTATTTTAAGTAAGAAATTTAAAATTTATATCAAAATATTTTATTAAATTTTCAAATTGAATTATTATAACTGTAAAATTTAATTTTCAATCAAAATATTTAAATATTATAAATACATCATTTAATATAAATAAATACATAAAATAAATATCCGCCTAGTCGAACGGGTCAAGGTCTAGTCTTTATTAAATTAAGATTCTACTAATAATTACAATATATAAATTTTGAGTTTAAAATGGAATAAATAGATTTGCCTCTAAAGAAAATAAAAAGTTGTACTATACGGATTTATTTATTCAACAGAACTTATAATTGAAAGAATCCCGAGAAGAACAGTTGTGATAAAACTGGCAGAAACCACATGGCCATGAACCGTCTTGTCTGTACGATGATTCAATGTCTGTTATAAAGTTAGTGTACATTATTGTCGCCAGAGAATTTGGTCTATATGAATAATGAAATGAAATGAAATTAACTGCAAACCTTTAACGTTCAGCATATAATATGGCTCAAACTTCCGAATAAAGAGATAATGAATTCGTTTGAGAATTATGTAATCACTATACATGACCACTAGCAAACCTTTAACGTTCAGCATATAATGAATTGTACAATGAATTCGTTTGAGAATTTATGTAATCACTATACATGACCACTAGTTCGACTCACAAAACACCAGAAACCAAATTTAGAGTCTAACACTAAGATGATATTTGAAGAAAACTAAATTGTATATATCAATGAATTTTTGGTCTAAAAAATGTAGAGTACCTTCTTTTTACACTGTAACTATTTACATATACATACTGTTGTATACAGTATATATTACCGAGTGATGACTACTATTTATCCTCATAGATATTGATTTTTTTTTGTAACATTTATCTTCATTGATATAATTATTAACTAATATATTTTCTTGGTTATCAATTTAACCAGATTTGATTAATATTATCATATTGAAGATTTTGTATCCATATGGACAAAACTGAGACGGTTAATGTCTTATGTAAAATTATCTGTCTTTTTATTTTGAATCATCAAAACATGTTTAATCTTGAACATAAATTTTCTTTAGTTGTTTATTTTTTTTTAATTTAAATTGCAAAAGAAATACTATTTTCTTAGTTTCAAAACTATATTTACCTGTTAAAAACAATACTATTTTTACCAATTAAAAATAATTTGTTGTAAATATCAGTTGTCTTAAATATTTTGTTTATTCTATCGTTTGTTCGTATCGTCCAAATGAAAGCTTTAAATTTTGTGTGGAGAGATCATACACTTCTTCTGTAATATTGTGTCTCCATTATCTTCGGAATTCTTAAAGTACATATGTATATATATATATTAATATTAATATTTAATTATGAAGTTTTTAATTTTATTGAATACACAAAACTCCAAAGCTTACAAAGGGAACATATCATCTATGGTCCATTCTAAGAATCATCTATAAAGCACCATTTTTCTATTAACATGTTAAATATATTAATTATCGATTAACATGTCGCTTTTTTATAGATACTAAATTACATTTTTCCATTACTACTGTAATAGATAATTGGGTTACAAACTCGCAAATAAATTTAGAAGTGTTGGTTCGGAACACTAGCGATGAAATTAGTCAGGACATGTATATTAGAGGCTTTTAAAGTAAGATTTTTAACTGAAGATTTAATATTTTTTTTTCATTTTTCATTTTTATTTAATATTTTTCTGGTTAAACCAATTCTTATATTTTTTATTTAAAAACTAATTCTTAGTTTTTCTTAATTAAAAACAAAAATAACGGTTCTTATTTATCTCTTATTTAAAAATTAGTTCTTAGTTAAAAAACTATCCACCTAACAACTCTCAATAAACATATCACATAATATGTAAATTATATAAAACATATATAAAACATGTGATAGGCCAGTAGAAGCCAAGTCAAACATTTGCTTAGATCACTTTCACTTTTAATTAATTACTTTTGTTGGTAAGGAAATTTACAGAAAATATTCATATAGTTGACGCTGTCAATGTTAGGAGGTACATCTATCTCCGCTCTTAGCAAGAAAGTTGCATAATGCCTATGAATGAGAGGAAATCCGTAAGCCAAGAAACGAATTACTCCACAATCAAATCTAAAAGCCAAATCGTGTATTTAATTAAAACATTATACTGTATTTTGTTTTCCTCCTCTCAAATAACCAACCAAACCAATGTTCAAAAACTAACCAATCAAAAATTTGACTAAAGTAATTAAAAAAAAGGACTCGCATTTAAAACAATTCTAGTACAAGACATGTCTTGGATTCATCCAAATACACACCGGAAAAAAAAAAAGAGAAACCGGTCAATTGATTAAAATACAAACTGAACCGGCCGGTTAAAGAAATCAAGCCTCTAAGAAACCAGTCATCCTAAGAACGGAGTTCCTGTGACGATTCAGGTCTCTTCCTTTTAGGGTGCAAACGGAAAACGCTATTTGCTCCTTCATCCTTCTTTCGATTATAACATGCGGAGGAGTCTTATCCTCCTCCTCCCCCGCTGTTTCCCACTCCATACGCCGGAAATGATTCACCGGAATACTCACCGGAGATGTTTTCTCCGCCCTCACCCGCTGTCTTGTGCCCTTCTCGCCCTTACTGATTTTAGTTTCCTCTTGGATTGTGGATTGGTCTGAAAATATAATGTCTGATTCTTGATATTCTTCTGACATTGTAATATCAAAGATTTTTTTTGTCCTATACGTACTAACTCAAGTAATCAAATATAAAGATTTAAAGGACTCAAAATAGAGAATATTTTCCTGAGAAGATGAGAGGAAAAAAAAAAGGTTAAGAGATATTATCGATGACGATGGAGAAGAGGATATCACAATGGGTTAAATGAAATTTATAGACTGAGTCACTGAGACGTATGTCAAAAGAAGAGAATCTTATGTCTTACACGTAATGATCTACGTATATAAATGTGTATCTATATACATGTGTTTGTATATATACGTGTACGTGTAATTAAATCTAGTGTTGCATGTGATGACGTCAGCACGATACGATCTTTTAATGTGAAATACGTGGAAGCTTCATCATACTCATGAAGCTTCATCATCACTCACCTTCTTGCCATGTATAACTAATTAATTAGCTAATAATTAATTACCTTTGGATTTATTGACTAATTATTCATGATTTCCAGAGTGTTATTATTTTAGAAGAACAACTAGGCTAAGTTTTCTTGTACCATAAGTAAAAATTAATTAGCACATCGATTTACCTTTAAGAGAACGCTCTGATTCGTAAATCAAATTTAAATAGTTTTCTTTAAATACTGAAAAGAGAAAATAAAATTAATTTAATTTTGACTATAGAGTTATTAATTAAATGTAAAGAATGTTGAATGTCTAAACATGGCTTCTTAAAATGTGTGATTATTTTATCTTGTCGAACCATGGACCTATTTTGCCATTTTATGGATTTTCCAGTTGAGAATCTTATTAATTTAATGAGAATAATTTTTGATTAACCATTCATGAATATTAAAGCTACAATATTCATTGCGTATCTCCAACCATAAAATCACAATGATTAGAAAAAAAAGCTGTGTCGGAGTGAAGCTATAAAACGCAACCCGTGCGGCGCGTCCGGAGGAAACGCATTACGCGTTTTCCATCTCAAGGTCATGCTCATTGCTCACGCATGTACGTGTTTACACGTTAATCCAATTCTATCCAACACTTATTCCAACACTTGTCATAACACAATCTTACTTATCTAAAATGTCCGCCAAAAATTAAATCGCCAAGCTTTGGGTTCTCTAGTACCACACGTGTTTGTTTTGTCCGCAACAGTCACTTTCTAACGCGATTACGTGTTGGTGTTAGTTAACGGCTTATTCTTTTTGTTGCATGAAACATTTACATATTGAATGTTGGTGCTTTTAAAGAACACAGACGCAAATCGTTCAACACGATTACAAAAAAAATAATTATTATATTATCGTTCAACACAAACTTAGAAAATACAATTCAAGAAGTGGGGAAATATTAAATAAACTAATTGTAACATTCTTAATTGTGATATATGGAAATGCTTAAGATAATTGATTTGGCTATCTATGTCACCAAAGTGCATTTATCTTTTCGGGAGCACATCCAGAGAGAACTCCAGAGTTAAGCGTGTTTGAGCTGGAGTAGTCAAATGATGGGTGACCATCGGAAAATGACTTGCGATACTGTGTAAGTGAGGCCAAAGCACGGGAAAAGGTCGGATGGTGATTGTATAGAGTCAGTAAACATGACTCTAGAGCCTTGAAAAATCAACGGATCGACCGTTGGAACGGGATGGGACCCACGGGCCGAGTGAGCGGGCGTGGGTGGCCCATTAGCCGTGCGGTCGGGCGTTATAATTGCTATCAGAGCTGGTTAGCCGTCTCAGTTCTGACCTGAGAGGCGTCTTGAGACCTGTCGTGGGACGCAACGAGGACGTTGCGTTCTTTGAGAGGGGTGAATTGTAACATCCCGAGTTGTGATATATGGAAAGGCTTAAGATAATTGATTTGGCTACCTATGTCACCAAAATGCACTTACCTTTTCGGGAGCACATCCAGAGAGAACTCCAGAGTTAAGCATGCTTGAGCTGGAGTAGTCAAAGGATGGGTGACCTATCGGGAAATGATTTGCGATACCGTGTAAGTGAAGCCAAAGCACGGGGAAATGTCAGGTGGTGATTGCAGGGTCAATAAACATGACTCTAGAACCTTAAAAAATTAACGGACCGACCGTTGGAACGGAATGGGAGCCACGGGCCGAGTGAGCGGGCGTGGGTGGTCCATTAACCGTGGGCGGTTGGGGCGTTATACTAATGTTGGGAAGTCTTAACACGAAATTTTGATTTTGAAGAAAGTATCGATAGTGTCATTTTCTTTTTAATCGATCATTTTTGATGATTCAAGCAAAAAAAAAAAACTATATACTGCATCACAAATTAAACAAAAAAAACATTTTTGAACTTCAACGTATGATTATTTAAGGGAAAAAATAAATAATTTGATTATATCAAACTTACTTACATTCTTTCTAATGAATCTACAATTTCAAAATACGTTTGATAATAAAGATAATTTTTTTTAACCGCTATACATCCAGAGACTAGTTGCCATAATAATGTTTCATCTTAGGTGGACATTTTACTTTCCAGCAAAAAGTCTTCAGAAAAAAACAAACGAGGGGCCAATTTCTGGAAGCATTCTATCTCTATTACACTCATTCTACTTAACATCCAAATTTGATCATATATCTCTCATTCTCCGTAAAGTACATCCATCTCTATATGATGTCTAAGTCTGACTTAGAGGAATAATTTCAATAATTTTTGCATCTTACGAGTCCACCAGACTCTGAATAACCTGTGATTTTCATGTTCTCGATGGTGCATCAATAAGACAACTGACTTTAAGAACCAGGTAAAGATTGTGTTGATTTTTATTTGCTGATATCGGGCGAGTGGATGAGATCCATGGATCATTCTATGCTAAAATGGATGATTCTAATCTCACCTTTTTTATTAGTCATTTGCTAACTATAGATATAGCTTAGCAATACTACTCCATCCATAAGACAGTGAGTACTATCTAATAGATTCCAAGTTGAAGCATTCATGAAATACTATCTTTTAAAAAGTCGAGAGAATAAGATATTTGGTTTTTTCGATCAATTTTCAAAATTGTTTTTCTAACATACATGTATTGAAATCTGTAAGATCTTTAAATCCAAACCTCCTTCATCCTTGGGACTGTGATGCTTATCCCATAATTTTCAATGCGCTTATCTTCTGGACTCCACCAAAATTGTGCCACTGCGTTTGTTAAGCTTTTTCATTACCATTTTCAGAATACGAAAAAGGACATTACATGGTTTGGGAAAACAGTTACCATCACCTCTTTTCCCTTCTTGGTGAAAAACTTGAAAGTCCAGCCATTCACTCTATTATTTAGTCGAACCTTGAAAAAACCAAACATGTGTTTTTTAGTCTCCTAAATTTTCAGGAACTCCCAAGTATGATCCTATACCACTTAAATTCTGGATCCCTAGAATATCTGAAGTTCCTGTCTTAAAGGTTCTTCAATCTTGCGACCAAACTGAATCGAAGATTTCTCAAAGTTTATATGTAGTCCCGAAACCGCTTCATATTCCTTTAGAATCCTGAGAATTATTTAAGCTTCATCTTTCTATGCACAAAAGAAAAGACTATCATCCGGAAAAATTAGGTTTGAGATTGAGGGGAAAGCCATTGCAACCTTAACACCCGTCAATTGATTCTCCCTCTCTTCCTTTTTGATGTTTGCTACCAAGGTTTCCGTAGATATAATGAATAATAAAAATTCTCCCTATCACAGCCTCTGATTTGGTATTCTGTGATCTTTTGGTTGACCATTCAACAAAACTCTGTACTGTACTGAGAAAATACATTTCATCATTAAACTGGTCCAGTGATTGTCAAAAACCCATATTGGGTAACCGTTGAATGAAAATCCATTTGACTCTATCATAACCCTTTCTCATATCTGTTTTAATTTCCATAAGTTGTCCTTGACGCGATTTGTTAGCCCTCAATCCTAGGAACATCTCATGTGCTATGAGTATATTATCAGAAATCAATCTCTCTGGCACAAAAACCGATTGTTTCCAAAATTAGTGAAGGAAGACACGTCTTTAATCACTGGCATAATACATTAGCTATAATCTTATAGCCTACATTATATAAGCTAATAGGTCTGAGTTCCATCATTCTTGTAGGCCTCTCCTTTTTAGGGATCAAGCAAATATTCGTAAGATTTAACTGTGTATCCAGTTTTCCTTAGATAATTTTTTTTTTAATCATTTCTAGTAGATCCTTCTTTATTATATGCCAAGAATGCTGAAAACAGAACTGTCATTCCATCAGACTTGGAATTTTTTCAGGATGCATCATAAATAAAGTTTGTTGTATCTCTTCCTCGGTTGCCAAGCTGTTTAATCGTTGATTCATCTGTGGGTGATGGTAGGTGTAACTTCCTCCAGAAAACCATCAAAATCTAAAGGATCAGTGGTCCTAATAAATCCTCATAGTAATCCACTCTAATTTCTTCTACGCCTTTTCCTCAAGAACCCAGTTTCCACCATTATCATAGAGCCCCATAACCCTGTTACGAGCCAGCGTTGTTTTGCAAGAGCATGATAAAATTTAGTGCTAAGATCTCCGGATGTATAGCACATGTTTTGACTCTTCTACTTCTCAAAATCTTCCTCATCCTTATATGTCTCTTGTAATTTTCTGGAAACCTCCAAAATATCTTATAGCTGGGATCTGTTATCATCAGTTTGTACTTCTTCCAGCACTTTCTGAAGTTCAATAATCTTCTCCTTTTGATATAGTGGGTTATTATTTCGCCATGTAGCAATCTCGTGACGAAAATTAATAATTTTCGATACAAAAGACCCAGAGTTTTCTATAATTTGACTCACTCCAACCTCTACTAATCGCTTCCAATAAACCATCTTGTCCAATCCATCTTTTGTCGAACCGGAATTGTCTTTTTTTTTTGGTAATTTATTCTCCAGAAAGGCCACTACTAACCAATGGTCAGACTCTACCATCCCTAAGTATTTTGTGTAAGAGCATGGAAAGAGCGTATGCTAGTACTCATTTACTAGTGCTCAATCCAATCGCCATCTAACTATTATTTTATTACGTCGTCTTGCCAAGATATCTAAGTTCCTCGTGCCGGAAATTCCAATAAACCAATATTATTAAAAGAGAAAAAAGATCATGCACTTCGTAAACTACCTCCTTCTTTTTGTGATTATCAGTTATCTCATTTAAATCTCTAAGATGAACCACGGATCTGATCTTGCTAAGCTATAGTGAGTTAGGCATTCCCACATTTGATTCTTAATTTTTGTATGGTTCTACATAAACAAACTTTCTATAAATTTTTTTCCCTAGTACAACTGGTTCTGATATTTACAACAAATTATTTTTAATTGGTAAAAATAGTATTGTTTTTAATTGGTAAATATAGTTTTGAAACTAAGAAAATAGTATTTCTTGCAATTTACATTGAAAAAATAAACAACTAAAAAAAATTTATGTTCAAGATTAAACATGTTTTGATGATTCAAAATAAAAAGACAGATAATTTTACATGAGATATTAACCGTCTCAGTTTTGTCCATATGGATACAAAATCTTAAATATGATAATATTAATCAAATCTGGTTAAATTGATAACCAAGAAAATATATTAGTTAATAATTATATCAATGAAGAAATGTTACAAAAAAATAAATATCTATGAGGATAAATAGTAGTCACCACTCGGTAATATATACTGTATACAATAGTATGTGTATGTAAATAGTTACAATGTAAAAAAAAAGGTACTCTACATTTTTGTCAAAAAAAACACTTCTTCGCTTTGTGACCAGAACATGTTGAACGATACCCAAAAAGCTTCTCATACCTCAACGAGACTAGAGCTTCCTCTCCATCATAGAACTCCCTGCTTTTGAAATCCACAATGGTTTCAAAACATAGCTCTTGGAAAGCATCAACCGTCACTTGCACACGCCTATGATCCACCTTCTCTGCAACTGTCTTTCCAGTAGCATCACCAAAGCTTTCAAAGGTTGGAACCGTTCTGAGCTCCAATGGAACACCCAAAACTCTAACCCAAAAAAGTTATTTACGATGGAAAATGTTGAGGCCTCTTCGGTTGCCAGCGTGCTAACACAATCATCCAATAATCACCAAGACCAAATCGCAGGATTATGGAGGTAATCTGTTTCATATCTTTGGAAAAAAATCTTCTTTGTTGATTAGGGAGACTCGAAGTGTTACTAAGAGGTTTATTACAATGGATTGGAGATATTACATTTTTGATTTTATATATAAAATATACCATTTTATGAGAAGGATATTATTTCATTGGCTAAAATATTAATATTTTATAGTGTAGTAAGCTTGTTAGCTTTTAGAACCCATCAACCCACATACATATCTACTCTATTAAAATAAAGTTTTTCTTTTTATCTACCGATACAAATTGTCATTTAAATTTGGACTCTTTCTATAGTGTTACAAATAGTACAAGCCATATAGTTAATTGAACCGCATTACTTAAATTAAACCGGTGGTTATTTATGGGATATAGTCTTGGGCTTACTTTTGTTTTTATGACAAATTATATGGTTTGATTTTTAAGCTTACTATTAAGGAAAAACTCCAAAAAACATTGAATAAAATTTCTATCTTAATGGATCAAAAAATCAATTATTATTTTCAGGCCCAAATGTATTTAATATTTTTAACAAAACAAAATTGTCTATTATTAATCATTTATTTAAATCATGTACTTTAAAACATGTTATTGTATTTTTTATTTTAAATAACAATCACTTTTTTGATAAATTTCAATGGTAACTTTTAAATAATTTATTGTTTTATTTTTCTTAAATTAATTACTGATTTTAAAAAATAAATGTAAAGCAAAACCAAAAACCAAATCTAAAAACTAAAATCCAAAACCAAAAGCTGAAAACGCAGGTTATAGTTTTGCTTTTGTTTATTTACAAAATAAACTATTGCAATTTTTTTAAAAAAATATTTGTCATCTTTTCAGTTTTAAATTAGATGTTTCTTATTAAAACATAAAACTTCCCTTGGAGCTTGCCATTATTTTGTAAGTTTTAAAATTTAATACATCTTCTATCCTATGTTAAATATGGAAACAACAATATACAACTAAATATGTTTCCAAAGAACACAATAGTTAATCTTGTATCCAAACACTATAACTCATTAGGTTTCATACTATAATAATTTTTTATTAATTTTCTTTTAAATATCAAACAGTTGACTAAAACATTAAATAATTTAAGAAAAAATTCAAAATAGTTATAACTTTTTTTTCCGCCTTAGTTACTAAATATTTTTATCTAATAGAGAAAATTAAATTAGTAGATTATTTTATTTATATTTTCAAAGAAAGAATTCTATTCATTAAAATTAAAAAAAAAAAAAATTTAAAAATTAAATCTACAATTTTTGAGAAATAATTTTTTTTTCACATTTCATAATTTCACAATATTACCATATGTAACGGGTTCATACACAATTATTTGATGCAATATTCTGATAATATTTAAATTATTAATATACAATTATAGTAAGTATAATTGATAGATATTATATTGTTATAAGAAAAAATGGTTAGATAACTAAAATAGCAAATATAAGTATGTTCTACACAGCTTCTGTAATGTATATACGTTAAGTCATAGAAACAACAAACAAATTACTAAAAATACAATCATTAAATAACTTAGACTTGCATAATACTTAAATCATTTTGTTCACAAACTAAAAGGACTACTATAATACACCTTTCACATTTGTTTTAATCATATACACAATATGACGACTCAAACTTTGATCGTGGCTATATGTACAGTTATGCATTCAGCACGCATTTCTCTTTCAACATGTGATGAGAAATGTGTTAAACATTGCATCCCGAATCAATGCAAGAAAAAATAGCCAAAAAACCTGATATGACAATTTAGAAAGAAGATTGTAAGAATTTTGGGAGTAAACAATCAACAAGTCATGAAGAATTTATTGTTCCTAACCCACCCATCAATTTTTCTGGTTGCAAATTATATAGTTTCTGGATATATATTTCATAATTATTTTCAAATTTGCAATCTTATGTTATTTTTTTATTTCTTACGAACAATTTATATATTGTATATTTGTGTTTGTTTTATTAGATACATTATATATATGTTGTGATTTTTAATATTATCAAGAAATATTTTTTTATTAGTAACAATATTTGTTAGTGTTAAAAAAACATTTAATAGTCAAACTTACGATAATTATTTTTTTACAAAAACATATCACAGCAACTCTAATAAAAACATAATAACAAAAAATTGAAGTATTTCATTTAAATCAATATGAATGCTTAATAAAAATATGTTAATGATGAAATGATAGTCATATTCATAACGGGACAAGTGACAAAAATATTAAAAATCATAATGATAAACATCCGATATGAGAAATTCCTAGTACTTAATCAACAAGTCCTAAACATATAATCATCTAACACCCAATCAAAATAAAATTTAAAGGTGAAATAATCAATAAATTAAATGGTAATGAAGACGCATGAGAAATTTTGTTAAGCTTACTGTTTCTACATAAAACTTCATAACTAAAATTGGTTATTGTTATACTGATTGCTTGTAATAATATTTGAATAAATGCTATGGCATAAATGAGACATCTTTAAAAAAAAAAAATCATACATGTGACATATGAAACGTGGTAGTAACCAAAAGCATAGAGTATACACTCTTGATCTTATACATAAGATATACCATTTTATGAGAAGAATATTATTTCATTGGCTAAAATAATCATATTTTGTAATGTACTAAGCTTGTTAGCTTTTGGATCCCATTAATCCACATTGCATGTTTCTTATTAAAACAGAAAATTTCACTTGGAGTATATTATTATTTTGTAAAGTTTTTAAATTTAATAAACCTTCTATTCTATATTATACATGGAAAACAACAATATATTACTAAATATGTTTCCAAACAACGCAGTAGTTAATCTTGCATCCAAACCCTATAACTCATTAGGTTCCATATTATAATAAATTTTTTTTTAATATCAAATAGTTCACTAAAAATTAAATAATTAAAGAAAAAAAATCCAAAATAGTTTTAACTCTTTTTCTACCTTTGATACTTAATAATTTCATTTAATATAACAATTAAATTAATATATTATTTTATTTATATTTAAAAAACAAAGAATTATATTCATTAAAAATTATATATACTTTTCAATTTAAAAATTAAATCAACATTTTTTTGAAAAAAATTATTTTTCACATTTCATAATTTCACAATAATACTATAATGTAAAGGTTTCATACACAAAGTTTTGATGCAATATTCTGATAATATTTCAAATTATTAATATACAATTATAGTAAGTATAAATGACAAATATTATATTGTTATAAGAAAAAATGGTTAGATAACTAAGAGAGCATTGACCACACAAAAAAAAACTAACATAGCAAATATAGGTATGTTTGAAACAATCTATGTAATGTCTATATGTTAAGCCAGAAAAACAACAAACAAATTACTAAAAATAGAAATCATTAAATTTATTCTATAAATCATCTCGATTAACACAATATTAGAATCATCTTGTTCACAAACTAAGAAAGACTAAACTGCAATACACCTTTCACATTTGTTTTATTCATATACACATTATGACGACTCAAACTTTGAAAAGTTCTTGGACTCTTTTCATGATCGTAGTTATATGTACAATGATGCTTTCAGCACAGATTTCTCTTTCAACCAATGTTGAGAAATGTGTTAAACACTGCATCCTGAATCAATGCAAGAAAACAGCCGAAAAAACTGATATGACAATTTGTGAAAAAGATTGTAAGAAGTTTTGCAACAAACAACTAACAAGTGTTGAAGAATTTATTGTTTCTAACCCACCCAGTGATGTTCCTGATTGCAAAATTTATAAGCCCTGGAATTGTTAGTCATAATTATTTTCAAATTTGCAATCTTCTGTTATTTTCTTACCTTTTACATACAATTTATATATTGTATATTTGTGTTTGTTTTATCTAATACATGATATATATGTTGTCATTTTTAATATTAACGTGAAATATATATATATTTTTTATAAATTTTTTGTTGGTGTTAACAAACATTTAATAATCAAACTTACAATAATTATATTTCAAAAAAAACATATCACATCAACTCTAATAAAAGCATAATAACAACCAAGTGAAATATTTCATTTAAATCAATATGAATGCATATTTACAATATGTTAATGATGAAATGGTAGTCATATTCATAATAAGACAAAAGTGACGAAAACACATTAAAAATCATAATGATAAACATCCGATATGCAAAATTTTTAATACTTAATCATCAAATCCTAAACATATACTTATCTAAAGGTAATCAATAACATAAACGGTAATGAAGACGAAAGTGAAATTTTGTTATGATTATTGTTACTACATAGAACTATACAACTAAAATTTGTTATGGTTATACTTATTTTTTATAATAATATTAGTATCAATGTTACATCATAGATGGAACATCTTTTAAAAAACAAAATCACACATGAAACATACAATATGGGAAATTCTTACTACGTAATCAACAAATCCTTAACATATACTCATCTAATGACATATCAAAATAAGATTTATAGGTGAAATAATCAATAACTTCAATGGTAATGACAACGAATGTGAAAATTTGTTAAGATTACTATTTCTACATAAAACTACATAACTAAAAATGGTTATGGTTATACTGATTGCTTGTAATAATATTTGAATCAATGCTATAGCATACATGAGACATCTTTAAAAAAATCATACATATGAAACATGCTAGTAACCAAAAGCATAGAGTATATACTCTTGATCTTATACATAAGATATACCATTTTATGAGAAGAATATTATTTCATTGGCTAAAATAATCATATTTTGTAATGTAGTAAGCTTGTTAGCTTTTGGATCCCATTAATCCACATTGCATGTTTTTTTTTATTAAAACAGAAACCTTCACCTGGTCTTTACTATTATTTTGTATGTTTTTAAATTTAAGAAACCTTATATTCTATATTATACATGGAAAACGACATTATATTACTAAATATGTTTCCAAACAACACACTAGTTAATCTTGCATCCAAACC